TGTGGTAGTATCTGAGAAGTAAAACTCTGTGGTAGTATCTGAGAGGTATAACTCAGTGTGGTAGTATCTGAGAGGTAAAACTCAGTGTGGTAGTATCTGAGAAGTAAAACTCTGTGGTAGTATCTGAGAGGTATAACTCAGTGTGGTAGTATCTGAGAGGTATAACTCAGTGTGGTAGTATCTGAGAGGTAAAACTCAGTGTGGTAGTATCTGAGAGGTAAAACTCAGTGTGGTAGTATTTGAGAGGTAAAACTCAGTGTGGTAGTATCTGAGAGGTAAAACTCAGTGTGGTAGTATCTGAGAGGTAAAACTCAGTGTGGTAGTATCTGAGAGTTCTCTCCAACTCTCACTCTGTTGTTTCACAGATTAAGTTTTATCAGATCAGAAAAACAACAGAAAATAAAACAGAAATCTTCTCATTGATGTTTTAAAAGTTTAGTAGAGTTGCAGGAAAAGAGGGAATCTCTGAGCTTGTCGAAACACGATCAGTTTCACATGTGGCAATAGTTTGTTTTGACTGTGTTGATGCTAATAATCCCTCTCTGTCGGTTTCACTCTGGTATTTATTTTTTCTTGCAGAAAGTTGAACCATTTGCCAGCAGCTGCAGCRCCGCCATCAGCTTCCTGCAGGAGTCCATCAGCACACTGAGTGCCGGTGGAAGTCTGAAAACATCAGAGGTCAGACTTACACTCTACGTGCCGATTATATCATGTGAAGATCATTCTTTAATTCAGGACATAAACATCTTACTCATTACAAATGATGAAATCAAAAAATGGTTATTCTAGGTTACATCAAACGGTGCAGTTTGAAAGAATTAACTTCAGTATTTTTACAGATATATTGATGTCAAGATCTGAAATGTGGGTACTCACTCAATGTAAACAAAGCACTTGGCTCAATCTGCAGAAAACCAAGCAGCAGCAGAACACATAGAGACAAACGAGACACAAAACCAGTCCAACTCACACTTAGAGACGATTTAGAGTTGCTGGTAAACCTAACGTGATTGTTTTTGGTCAGTGGAAGGAAACTGGAGTCCTCCAAAAAAAAAACCTCCATCTTTACACTGTGGTGATCATTTGTCACCATGTGTTTTAAATCAGGAGGTGTCTGAGGTGTTGGAACAGCAGAGGCGTCTCATGAAGTGCGTTCTAGAAGACATGGGTCTGAACCGACTGCGTCTGGAAGGCGGGACCGTCCTCGCCCGCATCAGGAAAGAATCGTGCGAGAACGAGAACTACAGGTGCGTTTGACCGGCGACACGGAAAGAAAAAGAGTTCCATTTTTTTAATATTCAGACTGAAACGAGGTCGGGTTCTTTCAGGGATGCCGTGGAGAAGCTGAGTACTCTGTACAACCAAGTCGATGAAGAGGTTCACAAACTTGTGATTTTATCCAACAAGTCCCAGAAGGACTTGGAGAGTCAGCTGGAGGTGCAGAAGTTTGACGAGCAAACGCAACAGGTGACTTCAAAACCCAACATGAATCCTTCAGATTCTCACAAAGTATGACTCATTCTGGAGGTCCCCTCTCTCTTCCCTTGTCTGTGTTTACATAGCTAATTTTCTGGGAGTGAAATTGACTTGTTTTATTTGAAAAAGTGTTGGTTATCTTTTCTTATTACCTTGATATAAGTAGAGGCTACTGTATTGTTCTTTGGAGTTAGTATTCCATGTCACAAAATATAGTGTTTTAAAACACGTGTAGAGAGAATAAATCCTCAAAATTTCCCCCTCCTGCTGGAGAAAAGTTACGTCTTGTTGCAGGATCATTTCCTCCCTCCCGCTGCACGTCGCGCAGAGCGAAGCTTTAACAACCGTATTTTTTTCACACCCAAGTTGTCTGAGAAAAAACGTGTTTTTAATGAATTGTTACCCACGGAGATGAAAAAAAAAAACGTGGACGTTCATTCAGTCATAAATCCATCTTTTACAGTTCTGTTCTGAGAGCAGCAGCTGATAAGTTCAGCAGCAGAAGCTCATTGTATGGCAGGCAGATATTACATTTATTT